GTACGCCTTGTTATATCTAGGGGGTACCCCTGAGTCGTGACACTTGCCTTTCTTCTTGAGAACTCCAGTTGAATAGTGCCATAAACTAGGTCCATGGGAGTCAACTGAAAGCATGGTCAGAATCTCCTGAACATGTGGGTCATCATTATAACTTTCCACAATCTCTTGTATCCATGTAGGAGTACAAGTACTAGTAGCAATTAGTTGCCCTTGGGCCTGATCCTCCAGATGCCCTAAACCTTCATGTTGCCTAGATAATGCATCAACCACTCTATTCTCTGCACCCTTCTTATACTACACCTCATAATCAAGTCCTAATAGTTTAGTTAAGCCCTTCTGTTGAATAGGTGAAGTCACCTTTTGTTCTAGTAGGTACTTCAAACTGTAGTGGTCCATCCTTACTATAAAATGTTTGAACTGAAGGTACTGCCTCCATTTGTCCACAACACTTAAGAGGGCCATGTATTCTTTCTCATAATTTGATCTTCCTCTATGCTTAGGTGCCAACACCTTATTGAAGAAAGCTATTAGCCTACCTCTTTGATTTAAGACAACTACTACTAAAAATTTGCTTAAAAACGACGGACAGAAAAGCGACGGACGGTGTCGCTCCAAAAAGCGATGCCTTTTGCCACACTATCCATCGCTTTTTAATAAAAATAATTATTTTTAAAACTTTTTTAAACCTTTTAGAAATAATATATTTGTTACGCCTAAGTACCAACACTAGTTGATCCTATTGATGACAAAATTGATTTTCTTGCAAGATCGATTTGTGTCCATCTAGTGTTGACACTTAGCTTTAAATTTAGAAATAATATATTTGTTAAGCATGAGTACCAACACTAGTTGATCCTATTGATGACAAAATTGATTTTCTTGCAAGATCGATTTGTGTCCATCTAGTGTTGACACTTAGCTTTAAATTTAGAAATAATATATTTGTTAAGCATAAGTACCAACACTAGTTGATCCTATTGATGACAAAATTGATTTTCTTGCAAGATCGATTTGTGTCCATCTAGTGTTGACACTTAGCTTTAAATTTAGAAATAATATATTTGTTAAGCATAAGTACCAACACTAGTTGATCCTATTGATGACAAAATTGATTTTCTTGCAAGATCGATTTGTGTCCATCTAGTGTTGACACTTAGCTTTAAATTTAGAAATAATATATTTGTTAAGCATAAGTACCAACACTAGTTGATCCTATTGATGACAAAATTGATTTTCTTGCAAGATCGATTTGTATCCATCTAGTGTTGCCACTTGACTTAAAATTTAGAAATAATATATTTGTTAAACATCAGTACCAACACTAGTTTATCCTATTGATGACAAAATTGATATTCTTGCAAAATCGATTTGTGTCCAGCTAGTGTTGACACTTAGCTTTAAATTTAGAAATAATATATTTGTTAACCATAAGTACCAAAACTAGTTGATCCTATTGATGAAAAAAATAATTTTCTTGCAAGATCGATTTGTGTCCATCTAGTGTTGACACTTAGCTTTAAATTTAGAAATAATATATTTGTTAACCATAAGTACCAAAACTAGTTGATCCTATTGATGAAAAAAATAATTTTCTTGCAAGATCGATTTGTGTCCATCTAGTGTTGACACTTAGCTTTAAATTTAGAAATAATATATTTGTTAAGCATAAGTACCAACACTAGTTGATCCTATTGATGACAAACTTGATTTTCTTACAAGATCGATTTGTGTCCATCCAGTGTTGACACTTAGCTTTAAATTTAGAAATAATATATTTGTTAAGCATAAGTACCAAAACTAGTTGATCCTATTGATGACAAAATTGATTTTCTTGCAAGATCGATTTGTGTCCATCTCGTGTTGACACTTAGCTTTAAATTTAGAAATAATATATTTGTTAAGCATAAGTACCAACACTAGTTGATCCTATTTATGACAAAATTAATTTTCTTGCAAAATCGATTTGTGTCCAGCTAGTGTTGATACTTATCTTTAAATTTAGAAATAATATATTTAGTAAGCACTAGTACCAACACTAGTTGATCCTATTGATGACAAAATTGATTTTCTTGCAAGATCGATTTGTGTCCATATAGTGTTGACACTTAGCTTTAAATTTAGAAATAATATATTTGTTAAGCATATGTACCAACACTAGTTGATCCTATTGATGAAAAAAATAATTTTCTTGCAAGATCGATTTGTGTCCATATAGTGTTGACACTTAGCTTTAAATTTAGAAATAATATATTTGTTAAGCATAAGTACCAACACTAGTTGATCCTATTGATGACAAAATTGATTTTCTTGCAAGATCGATTTGTTTCCATGTTGTGTTGACACTTAGCTTTAAATTTAGAAATAATATATTTGTTAAGCATAAGTACCAACACTAGTTGATCCTATTGATGACAAAATTGATTTTCTTGCAAGATCGAATTGTGTGCATCTAGTGTTGCTATTAAGCTTTAATTTAGGAATAATGTGTTTGTTAAGCATAAGTACCAACACTAGTTGATCCTATTGATGACAAAATTGATTTTCTTGCAAGATCGATTTGTGTCCATCTAGTGTTGCTATTAAGCTTTAATTTAGGAATAATGTGTTTGTTAAGCATAAGTACCAACACTAGTTGATCCTATTGATGACAAAATTGATTTTCTTGCAAAGTCGATTTTTGTCCATCTAGTGTTGACGCTTGACTTTAAATTTAGAAATAATATATTTGTTAAGCATAAGTACCAACACTAGTTGATCCTATTGATGACAAAATTGATTTTCTTGTAAAATCTATTTTTGTCCATCTAGTGTTGACAGTTAGCTTTAAATTTAGAAATAATATATTTGTTAAGCATAAGTACCAACACTAGTTGATCCTATTGATGACAAAATTGATTTTCTTGCAAAATTGATTTGTGTCCATCTAGTGTTGACACTTATCTTTAAATTTTGAAAAAATATACTTGTTAAGCATAAGTACCAACACTAGTTGATCCTATTGATGACAAAATTGATTTTCTTGCAAAATCGATTTGTGTCCATCTAGTGTTGACACTTATCTTTAAATTTAGAAATAATATATTTGTTAAGCATAAGTACTAACAGTAATTGATTCTATTGATGACAAAATTGATTTTCTTGCAAGATCGATTTGTGTCCATCTAGTGTTGACACTTAGCTTTAAATTTAGAAATAATATATTTGTTAAGCATAAGTACCAACACTTGATCCTATTGATGAAAAAATTGATTTTCTTGCAAAATCGATTTGTGTCCATCTAGTGTTGATAGTTAGTTTTAAATTTAGAAATAATATATTTGTTAAGCCTAAGTACCAACACTAGCTGATCCTATTGATGACAAAATTGATTTTCTTGCAAGATCTATTTGTGTCTTTCTAGTGTTGACACTTAGCTTTAAACTAAATAAAGAATTGGGACGCACTCCCATTGAACCAGAGGTTTTCAGGAAGACTCATGTCAGAAAGAAAGAAAATGAGTCGGATCCGGATGTGTGGGTGGAGGAAAGGTCCGAACGAACTTTTGTAAGTTATTTGATATGAATAATATATATTAATTGTGAATATATCTATGATATGTATATATATTGATGTCAATTTTTATATTTAATATGCAGAATGACTTTCATCAGTTTGTGACTGAGAATCTATATAGTTAGGTCCAATTGACACCTGAACTGTCCACCCAAATTTGGAAAGAAAAAGTGGTAGGGACACACAACAAAAGGTAGATGCTATGGTCTAGGCTCTCACACGATGTTAGACGACTTCAGTCAGGCTTAGAAGGTATTGGATCGTCACGTCAAGCCGAGGCACTTGATGGTGTTTAGATTGCTACTATGTTGGATCAAATAGCTAAACTTACATGTGGAGGAAAGGTCCGAACGAACTTTTGTAAGTTATTTGATATGAATAATATATATTAATTGTGAATATATCTATGATATGTATATATATTGATGTCAATTTTTATATTTAATATGCAGAATGACTTTCATCAGTTTGTGACTGAGAATCTATATAGTTAGGTCCAATTGACACCTGAACTGTCCACCCAAATTTGGAAAGAAAAAGTGGTAGGGACACACACAAAGGTAGATGCTATGGTCTAGGCTCTCACACGATGTTAGACGACTTCAGTCAGGCTTAGAAGGTATTGGATCGTCACGTCAAGCCGAGGCACTTGATGGTGTTTAGATTGCTACTATGTTGGATCAAATAGCTAAACTTACATCGGCAATAGCAGAGTCGGAGCAGAGAAGAGTAGCCGAACAAGAAAGCATGAATGAGAACATTCTGCAAAATCAATGAATAAGTGTTGAACCTCGCTCGTCGACCTACTACTTCGGCTCCCGATGACACCGACGACGAGAGTGATGAGGATGATTATGTAGATCTCACTCCCTAGTTTAGATCTCTGGACATTTATGAACTTTTTGAAATTTTGAAATGAATTTTAAAAGACTTTAATTTATGATTTAGGTACTTTTGAATCTTATTTTAAGTTTGTTGTTTTATGTTTTGTTTAGATTGTTTATAATTGTGTGTGTTTGATTGGGCTGAATAGTGTAGAATTGAATTGAATTGCATTTGCAGGTGGGCAACAGAAGCTGCAAGCTGCTACTGTAAAAAATATTGCAGAAAAAGCGACTGACAGCGTGGTTTAGTCCGTCGCTTTTCTGGGATTTTCAAAAATAAAATTTCCACAAAAGCGACTGACTGCGTCGCTTTTTAGAAATAAATAAATTAAAAAATTAAAATAAAGCGACGGACTCCGTTGCTTTTGTTAAAAAATTTAAATAAAAAAAAAAAGTAAAAAAATGACGGAGTTCGTCGCTCTTAGCGACACAGTCCGTTGCTTTTCCGTCGATTTTGACCAAAAAAATGACGCACTCCATCGCTTTTGGCCGTCGTTTTTTGACAATTTTTTAGTAGTGAACCCCAATGCCTCCATGACTAGCGTCTGTTTCTACTACAAACTCCTATGTAATATCTGGAAGGGGTAGCACTGGTGTAGAAGACATTGCAATCTTGAGTGCCTCAAATGCTAGTTCTGCCTCTGGATTCCACTTGAATGATTCTTTCTTCAACAGATCAGTAAGAGGTCTGGAAATGGTACCATAACCTTTTACATATCTTCTGTAGTAACCAATGAGACCAAGGAACCCCCTAAGCGATTTGAGTGTTGTAGGTCTAGGCCAATCAACCATAGCTTGGATTTTCTGTGGATCAGTAGCTACTCCCTCCTTAGGGATTAAATGTACTAGGTATTCTACTTGTGGCGGTCCAAATGAATACTTAGACCTCTTAGCCAATAGTGAGTGAGTCATCAGAGTGACAAGAACAACTTTCAGTTGGCGAATGTGGTCATCAATGGAATGGCTGTAAAGGAGTATGTCATCAAAAAATACTAAAACAAACTTCGTTAGAAAAGGATGGAAGATTTGATTCATCAAAGCTTGGAAGGTGGCCGGTGCATTGGTAAGACCAAATGGCATCACTCTGAACTAATAATGTTCTTCATGAGTTCTAAAAGAAGTCTTAAAAACGTCTTCTATTCTCATTCTAATTTGATGATATCTAGTCCTTAAATCAACCTTGGAGAAAATAGTTGCCCCATACAACTCATGTCAAAGACACGGGTTCGATTCCCGTAAGGGATAGGTACTCATTCCCGGCCGCTTTCAGTTAGTGTTAATTGTTGAGTGATCGCTCGCTATCTGGCTGGAAAAGATGGGAATTCACAACCAAATGTGTCTCTTTGTTCCAATCGCCATGTAAGCCATATACAGAGGATAGGCTGGTTCGCTTAAAGAGAATCTTTTCTATGATCCAAATCATGTTGTACATGAGCAGGCTACGTAAGATCCAGTATAAGTCAACTAGATAAATTCTAGCAAGTCATCAACGATAGGAATAGGGTACTTGTCTTTAATAGTGATATCATTAAGACCTATATAATCCACACATAACCTCCAAGTACCATCTTTCTTCTTCACTAGTAATGCAGGTGATGAGAAGCGTGATTGACTATGTTGGATTACCCCACTAATAAGCATTTCTTTCACTTGTCTCTCTAATTCATCCTTCTGGTGGTAGTTGTACCTGTATGGCCTCAAACTTACTGGCATGGCTATAGGTTTGAGAGGTATAGAATGATCCAAATCCCTAACAGAAAGTAAGGACTTGGGCTCGGCAAACACTTCACCATTTTAATCCACTACTTCTTGAATGCCAACATCAATGACATTCTCATTCCCACTTGGAACTGTGCTCATCATAAACAAGTGAGCAATAAGGGTCTGACCCTTTTTTAAGATTTTTCTCATAGAGCTAATAGTTAACATTCTTAGACTGCGTTCCTCAACTAAACTAGGTAGAACCAACTTGTTATTTGTTCTTCCAATAGTGACACACCTTTTCTCGTGATCAAACTTAGTGGGGTTATGTCTCTTCATCCAATCAGTACCCAGTTTCAGATCACACCCCAAGAGGAATGATTAGAAGATCATATGTAAAAGACCTCCCCTCCATCTTCCATATGAACCCCTTATAATGAGAAGTACACATGCTGTAATCGCCATCTGCCACAGTACGTCACTCCCACATGTGGGCAATGGCTAGACTGATAACCAATAGCTATAACAGTGTGATCATCAATAAAGCTGTGGGTACTCCCTGAATCAATTAATAGTTATAATTGCCTCTTTTTGACAACGGGAAACTTCAAGGTCCATCACAACCACCTACAGGATATTGAGGCTACTGGAAATTGCCATAAAAAGGTTCACGGAAGGGTTCACGGTCCGTCGTAGTCTGTATGGACAATCTAGCTTCTCGTGAACCTCACGTGAGAACTCTTGTTTAGTCATGTTCACAGATATTTTCACGGACCATGATGCCCTTCACGGGCAACTTCACGGTCCCTCGTTCACAACTCAGCAGTGATAGGGAACCGACCTGACCCGCGCGTGTACCAAAGTTGAAATTAAACGTATATTTGCTTCCTAAGCGCCAAAGGTCAGCTTTTACTCCCTATTCTTCTTCCTATAACAGTTCTTCAAGAGTAAAAAAAATGGTTCCCATCATCCATTAATCCTTAGTTCATCCAAGAATCGAAGCCCTAAACCTACGTTGTCAAGAACTTCAAGCCAAGTTCACTGAGTTTTCTTTTGAGCCAAGTAAGTCACTTCATAACTTGTTATAAGTTTGATCTTCTTTTAAAACAAGTTAGATTTACTTCGATTTAGTTTAAATTAGCATGATCTTGTGAGAAATTATATGGATTGGTGCTAAATTGTTGTGGGTTAGATTGAATTGTGTAACATTAATGGTTTTTGTATGGGTATGATTAGGCTTTAGGTATGTTTGATGAATATTGTTCTTTTTAGCATCTTTCTTGTTGAAATTCAGTAGTGATAGTAAGTCACTTGTAGTCATGTGTAAAAAAAAAAAGGGGAACTTGTACCATGGTGAAGTTGGGGGAGAAACTGATGGGATGAATGGTTGTGTAAGATCCCGAAAGGCTTCATGGATCGTGGAAGCCACTACGAGCCGTGAAACTACTCATGGACCACACTTGGGCATTTCATATCACCACTAGTTAGGTTTACGGGCAGTATTACGGACCGTGGTTCACTCCACGGGTCGTGAAACCATCCGTGAACAACACTTGGTTAATCCATTGTTGCACAGTGAGTCTGTGACAAATCCACGAGGGGTTTAACGGACCATGGTACCTACCACGTCTTGTGGAAGCTCCTGTAGAGTTGACTTGTTTTTGTAAAATTAAATTTTTGTAATTTTATTTCTGTTTCGTCTTTTGATTTCGTGGCCCTTCCCAATGATAGATTGGGTGACGACATTCTTAAGGCAATGCGTCACGATGTAATTACACAGGGGAAGTCTGAGTACCCGATAGTGTGTCATTTTACTGAGTTGTGTACTAATAAGTGTTGTGTTTCTCATGTACTATGGATCCCCGAAGAAAAAACGCAACCAAACCTACCCCCCTCACTGCTTCTCAATCAAAAGGCCATAATGCTTCCTAATCTAGTAGTTCGGAGGTACAAATGAATGTTAAACTTGATGATCATCCACCTCGAGCTACTAGATCCAGAGAAGCAAGGGCTATCCTCCAGGACACTCCTCTTCACTCTGAAGAGGGAGGTAGTAGTTCTGGTAACAGGGAGGACTCGTGAAGCAAATCTGATGCTGCTTCGGGAAGCCAATCAGATGATGGTTTGGGAGGCAGTGCAGAGTCTGAAAATGGCTTTCAGGATGATGCAACCACCTCTCAACCAGCAATACATATAGCAGCTGAAATGGGAGCACAAGAAGAGACAGGTACAGTAGGAGAAGATTAAAAGATCACCGCTGATGAAACCATGGTGCTTTATGTGAACACCCATGAACCTGATCCCATAGCAAGATAGCAGCTGATTGATTGTTTCCGCTCCATGTGGACTGTGGACAGATGTGAGGATTTCTTTAACAATGGGAATGTCAACAAGTCTGGCAGCTTCAAAAATAGACCAATCATGCCTGAGACCAGAGTGGTGGTAGCTGACATCAAAGCATTCCCATACATTTATCAGACATTCCAGTTTCATCAGTTTGATTGGATGAGCAATGCACCGGGAGAATATTCTAGCCACCTGACCAGAGAGTTCTATTCCTCTTATGCAGCCACGCTGATGAATTTTGTGGTAGGCATAGAGACAACTAAATGGGGGCAGAAAGATGTTGCCATTACCTTAGGTCCGCTCAATTTGATTATTGTTAGGGGAAAATCGATAGATATCTCTGAGGCTACTATTAACAAGATGTTGCATGGTCTGGAATACACTGCACCAGCTTTAGTTGGCCTTTTTGAGGGCAAATATCATGAAGTCACCAGTGATACTACTATGGAGATTCAGAGTTCTCGAGAGAAGGTCTTGAGTTAGATTGCCAAGAAAATTGATATAGATAGGGTGAATGCAGTTTGGGTCACAACAATGCCAACACTTATTACAAAAGCTTCACTGTCTTTTCCAGCCAAGGTTTGGTGGGTTGTTGTCCGTGCGCAATTGAAAGCAAAAACTAATGATAACACCTTGTCTCCTTCACTAACTTCTTTGGTAGCATGCCTCATGGTTGGTTACCCGGTTAATGTAGGGTAGATTATAGCGACCAAGATGCGAGATAGGGCACTGAATGAGAGGGCCGGATTTCCATTTCCTTGTCTAATAGGGAAATTATGTCGCCAAGCGAACATTTCCCCAAACAAGCTGGTTGACAGATGGGGTGAAGCATTCAGACTCACCCAAGTTTCTAGAATCAAAGATGCGCGAACTATCTCTTTGGTGTGAAATCTGGAGTTGTGGGTACTTTGGCAGTTTTTCCTCACGTACCAATTGACATCCCACATGTTGATAGAGGTCCAGAACATGGAGAGTCATCACATCCTTCCACAGAGGCACCACTACCATCAGCATCCGCCTCATAGGCTCCAGGTACTTATGTCACTATTCCTATGCTTTTTCTTGAAAAATTAGTTGCAGATCAGTGCCAAACCCAGATGTTAGTCGACCAGATTGTAAACCGAATGCCTCAGCTAATAGAGAGAGATGTGTTAGCTGCAAAGAAAGAAATTAAAGATGAGATGTGGAAGGAGCTGGCTGTCTTAAGAAAGGATGGATGGTTTGGAGAACCTTGTTCATGATCGATTTCAGGCCTCAGGTGCAGTAGATACTAAAGAGTTCAAATCGCAATTGGCTAAAATGCGAACTCAGGTTGCTAAACTGGCTGAAAAGCTAGTACAGATACCCACTCCGATTATTCCAGATTCTTTAATGCAATTGCTAAATTAGGCACCCTCCACTAAATCAATTGATGATCTTTGGGGTGAACTACCCAGGAATAAGTTCGGCGAGAGGAAACACAGAGCCGGAGAATCTGGTGAGGAGATACCTGATGACCTGTCCAAAGAGTAAAGAAGGCAAGAAAAGAAAGCATGCAGAGCATCAAGGAAGGCAGCTCGAGAAAAAAAAACACTTGAACAATAACAGAGAGATGCAATGTTAGTTGGCGCTTCTAGTAGCGGATCACCTGCCCCGGCGAGTGGTAGCCAACCTGATCATGTGCTGAGTTCTGAGAGTGCACCCATTGATAAGGGTGTTGATGCTGAGCCAACTACCTGCGCCTAGAACGCCGTAGGTATGACCTCTCCTCACAACCCTGTTTTGTTTTCTTTATTGACTTTGAGGGCAAAGTCCTTTTTTTGGGAGGGGGTGGTGAGCAACCTGCCATTCTAAGTTGTTAGAATCAATGGAGGTTGACTCTATGTTTACTGTGAAAACTGGTCTGGTGTGTATGTTTGTATGTTGAGCTGTGTAGCAGCTAGTCTGTGAAAAATGAGGACCTAAATTTGAAATTTGACTTTTAGGATCTTTATATGACATCTTAGATACTTACATGTTGAACATTGCTAATCTGATGAATAAGTTAGGAACCAAGAAACTGGAGAATGCAGTCGTGTGTCATGTGTGTATGAGTGTTGCTCGAAGTCTAACATTAGGAGTTGAAACTAGAACTTCCCCGAGTAGTCTTGCTTAAATCTGAGAATAACCGAATAGGAAATGATCAGTAGGCCATTTTTGTTCAGCCATTAAAAAGCCAAAAATAAACAACTAAATAAAAAGCTTATCACTTGAACCCGATTTGACCCTAAAAATCAACTTTTGTTCTTACCCAGTAAATATCATATCCTTTGGTCTCCGAAGATACGATGTCACAACTCAGGCCAAAAGCCTAAGTTGAGGGTGTTTGCAATCTGAGTCGAAAGAAAAAGCGAAAAAGAAGTTTCAACCAGTGAGCTGAGTGCATATATATATATATATATATATATATATATTAACAAGTGTGAAGAAAATAAAAAGAAAAAGGAAAATAATTGCAGCTGGGATGTGCTGAAATGAATAAAAAAAGGGAATCGTTCAGAAAAGAGTTGTGTGAAAATGAAACTTTGGAAAACCAAGGGACTAGTCACTCACAAACCCAAATATCCATTCCCTAGCCTGATCCTGTTACAAGCCGACAAATTCCTATAGTGATCCTATTCCTGGTATTTGCAAGATAGAGTATAGAA